TTAGCACAATTTCCTAACGATTTATATCGAAACTAGATTGGAATGTTTATTTTCAACAATTTAGAGATGTAAGCCAGATGCTGTAAGAATATTAGAGTTTCTCCATTTGGGACTCTGGAATTCTCCATGAAAATATTTCTTTCAAAATCTACTATAAAATAGCATGTGTGTTTGCTTTTTTCAAAAATATGAAACGAAATGATTTACAAAACAGTGGAAAAAAAATCACAATAAATAAATTGACGTAAATTGCTAAAAAGTCGTACAATTTAAGTAAAAGCTATAGCTGTCATATAGATAAATTATATTCATTGCAATAACTAACTAATGACATATCTTATTTGTATAATAAATGGTCATTTCTATAATAAAATAAGTTTGAGGAAAGCAAACCGAGTTTGATAAGATTTTTTTTAAATCTACACACTTGAAAGTACATTTTGATGTGAGATATAAACATGAATAAAACTATAAGGAAAATTCAATAATTTGATGTTTGACTGTTCTATAAATAAGCAAATTACGTTCCTACAGTATCATCTTCGAATAATGGTGGGATTTTCTACGACGTTTCTCAATATTAAAACTAAGATATACATATGAAGAAACTGAGCCATTGCCCACTGACTAGCCAAAATTAAACCACAACTATACACGTGCAATAATGCAGGTGTGTGACCACTGTAAAAATACCACAAAATTCTTTAAATGATTTGTAGATTTCAGGTCCTGATTTTATATATTAATAAACATTTTAATAATATCTTGTTTTTTTAAAGCGTGTAATCATTGTATGTGCATTACGCAATCATTTAGAAAGCTTTGAAAATTAAAATCAATCAAATGGGTTTAATTATTATATCACTGAAATATCATAAAAACGATAGAATAAATTCGTTTCCGCTTTTGATAAATGTAAATGTAAAAAGAAAAACTGAGTTAAAACTTTCTACAAGAAAAGCAAATAAATGGATAAAAATTCAAACGGACAACTATCGGCAATAATTTTTAACTGGTCTAAATCATATAAAATTTATTTTTGGTCATATTGCAAATGTAGTAAATGTACGATAAATATCAACAGACGTTGCAGACTAATATAAAATGAGAAGATGAAAATTAATTTCCACACATACTATTAAATTTAAAACACTCGAACAAAACAGAAACAAACACTTAAATTTCACTGATTGCTCTCATTACTAATAACACACTATCAGTGCCAGAACACTTTTATGCACTTGAGTATAACTCCTCGGCGGAAAAATGTTTAAAGTATCTACCGAGTGAATAAAGATGTAATTTTTTTTTTTTTTATTTCATTGAGAAGAAAGGTATCACAGTATTTCGTTTAATAGGAGCGGTCGGCGCACGACTAATGTGATTTTGTTTCAAAAGCGTCCGGCAATCATAGCATAGGCGTTCTCGGACTTATTTTAATCCAAACTTAACGCATACGACTAGAACTTATAGAAAGAGCGCCGATGAGAATTCTAAAGATATAATTAGTAAACATAAAACTTAAAATAATTTTTTACTAATTTTATAAAAATTATTGGCGTAATATTTGGTTAAACAAAAAATGTGAAAACACTCACATGTCAGTGGTATCTTAATTGCATGCATGTTTTCGGGCTTGGACAGAAAGGAGCTTTGTTACAGGAGTTTTACAAGTTATGCTAACAGTTATAATTATTATAACAAAAAAATTAATTGATTTAGATAATGTAGATAATGTTATTCTAATCTAATAATGTATGAAAAATTTGTGTTAAAAATAGTTTGTGTTAAATCGGTCATCATAGAATATGCTTGATTTTTTTTCATAAGTATATATTCCTGAATTATGTTTTATTAATTTCCCATAGGGTAAGTTATAATAATGAGCCCAAAATCTAATATGAAAATTTTGCGTATCTTCATGTTTTGGTGGTGTCAGCGCATTTTGGCATACCTCAAAAAAATAGATGCGTGTGTATGTATGGATACAATTTTTCGTCAACGTTTTCGGGCGCATGGATCAACCGATTCGAATGATAAAAAAATCGAATCTTATTGATAGGGAGATGTGCTAATTAGTGCACCCGAAGGAAAGAGGCCAGAAAATAGAAATAGAATTTTTGAGATGACGGAGTATCCGATGTAAATGATCCAAAAAATATTCAATTCGTAATGATGGGGAGAAGTGCTGGGTTTTTATAATTTTAATAAATCTTCAAACATAATATTTTGTATAATTACTTATATTTAAAATAATCCTCCGGCTATAAATTATTTTTTGATAAACCTACCAGCCCCATGTCCACTTCATAATGTGTATACTCCGAACATCAGGCACACAGCCAAAGATTGCAATTTGAAATTTGAAGAGAAAAGTATCATAAAACATCTGTTTAAGATGTCAAAAAAAATAGTTAATGGTTTTAAAAAAAAACTAGTGATGTCACACTTTGTAAAAATTATGATTCATAAATTTATTAATTTAGAATTTAAATATTCTAGACGGAATAGATTATCTTCTATATATATAAAAATAAGTCGGGTTTTCCTTCCTGACGAAATAACTCCAGAACGCACGAACCGATTTTGCATTCGTTGGAAAGGTCTCGGGTTCCGAAAGGTTTATAGCTAAGAAAATTAGTGGTGCATGGCATCCTGCCCTACTGCAAATTGCTGGAACTTCACGCACCGTAAATAAAAATTCGAGTAATGACATTAGTGAGAATTATCAGAATTATGCTTGGTTAAGTCAACGAGCAATTCTTGCCGCAAAGAATAATGATGTACACGCACTGAATTTCACCATTAAATCAAAAATTGCTGGCGGTTTGGTGACATACCAATGATTCCGACTGGTCTGCGGTTTGACTTTAAACAATTGCAATTTTCAGTTTGCCTTGCGTTCGCAATAACAAGTCGCAAGGCCAATCACTTAGTGTTTGCGGGATAAATTTCAAATAGATTATTTAAAAAATCATTGATTTGCACATGGGCAGTTATACGTTGCCTGTTCACGAATTGGAAAACCATCCGTTTTGTTTGTGTTAACGTCAGACCAAAAAACAAAAATGTGGTTTACCAAAGAGCACTTCAATGAAACGGATAATTTGTGGATTCACTTTCATTTACTTAGAAAAGTTCAACTAAAAAACACTTCATTTTTGTAATCGAAATAAATTCATTACTGTTGTATAGATCAAATTTTTCCTTATCAATTATAAAACAAACAAAAAATTTCTTTATCTTTCTCACGAAACCATCTGGTGGCGAAACGAAGTTCGTCGGGTTTGCTAGTATTATATAATAATGAACCCAATATTAATTAACCTAATTTATTATGTACTATATGAGTAAGTTTGTCTACAATTGATCTTAGTATATCTGAATTTTAAGTGATGAACCTCCTTTTCATGTTCATGTTAAAACATGATATTCAGAATATTAATAAAAACAAAGATAAACTTATTCCATTCTAATCTAATAATATCGCATGTATAATAACTCAAGCACGCAACATTCAAAGATACCAAAAAATCTTTTAGCCGGCAAAAAAATATGTTGATCAAAATGAAAATCGTATCTCAACGCGAATATTTTTAACGCAAAGAAACTATAGAAATGGGTGACGCACAATTTTGTTATACATTCGAATATTTTCGAACATATTTTAGAACAATGTCACAATCAAAAGCTAGGACTCGAGAAGTGTATGTTTATATTAGAATCGGACGAAAATAAATCAACCACTGTGTTCTCGATCTAGATAGGATAACAGAAATAATTAAGAACGACCATAACTTATCGGACTTTGTTATTTTTGGTAATAGGGCTATGATATTATTAGTAAGAAATCATTTATACATTATATAAGGCATTTTTATAAGTCGACTAACCTCTTGTAAAGCCTTCTTGTCGGCCACCTTGGACCCGCTTTGTAGTAACCTAATAACATTTTTAGCGCCTTCCACGACAGCAGCTTCAATTCTTAAACGATGCCTTAATTCTTCGACACGTTCTTCAACTGGAGGCTCCAACTGTTGTTGTGGATTTCCAGGACCTCCAGAACTAGGATCCCGATATTGATTTCCATTACTATTATCTTGTCCGTCGAAACCACCAGGAGAATTTGTGTGATAATCGTGATGTTGGCGTGATTGACGAAACTGCGAAAAATGTAAATATTAAGCACAATGTAACATTTTTAATTAACAAATTAGTTAAATTATTAAGCACTTACTCTAAGTATGCGCATCTTAAGAAAATCTATTTTAGCTTTGCTGTCAGCCAGCATTTGCAAGGCTTCTTGCAATAATTTCTTATCCCTCGAATGATGTCCGCCAGTAATGCTCTGAATCATATTTTCAGCTCCTTGTTTGACTTTTAATTCGATATTCAGCTGTTTTTCTAAGGAGAGCAGCCTAGCTGCCGTTGGATCATGAGGAGATGAAGATGGCTGCTGGCCAACTCCTGGAGACATTGGAGAATCTGAAAATAATTAAAAAATAAATGAATTTAACGATAATTGTATACATTTTTATCTTTATTATCTTTGAGCATTTAACTCGACAACAAAAAACTTATACAATAACATTTTCTTACTACAAATTACTAAATTACTTCGTCTTAATAAGACAACAATTAAGGTAATCCATCAGTCATAACTCAGTAATTAGGTGAAATTTCAAATACGGTTTTATTTCAATCTTTTCATCTGTCTTTGTTGAGAGCGACATCGGCTTTGAAATGATAGAAAACACGGAATATTAAATAGATATCTTGAGGAAAATTACAAATTGCATTTCAAAAGCAAGATATATTTTTATAAAGAAAAAAGAAATTGCTTTTGTACACTATGTTTCAATAAATAAATAAATATAACAGTTAAATAAATAAATTATTATGGATATTATATATGGATTAATTTTTGGTCTTCATAGTTTCTCATTTAGTGTCAGAATGCAACTTTCGCACCGACTCTTCGTTTATAGATGAAATCCGCTTCTCTAGAATGCATTCGACGGTAATAGTAGAAGTAACTGAATATATATTATTAGAGTAATGATAGTAATCATTTAGTCTTTGCTTTCTATAAAATGGTACTAAATCTCCTCCGCGAAACCAAATGCAATGTCACAAGGTTTCAAAGTTAATATCTTGAAAGTATGAGTATGACAGTGGTAGGACTTTAACATTACTCAGATAAAATAAAAAGCATCTCCTTTGTTTTATTTTTGAAATTTGCTTCATTATATTTTATTTGGAACTTTTCTCGTTATGTTATTTAAAACACTTAAATACGTATTTAATAATAGTTTTGACTGGCGCAAGGTACTCTATAAGTAATTACTGAGAAATCTCTACGGTTCGCCTTCCATTTTATTACGCTGATTTTCAATGTTCTACAAATCATCAATGAATTAATTTGTGTAACAATAAATCTAACAAAATGCCATAAGTAAACCATATGCGCTTTCGTCAAACAAGCCGCTACTTTCTAAATAACAACAAAGAATAAACGAATTAATCTCAATAAAAAGGAGGTTAATAAGCTTATTTGCGGCGAGCGTTATGTTCAGAGCATGCGATTCAGATGCAAATAACTGGAAAATTAATGAATGATAAAGTAAGATACCTTGCACACTTTAGTGCACGATAAAAATATATTCAAGTTTATAAATATTACATTTATTTATTTACCTTGGCCATTGCAATAATCTTCTGGAGCACCGGTCGCCGTCGTTCCGCCTCTCGTTAAAATAATTTGGGATTCTAATTCTAGTAATTCGGATTTTAATTCGGCCAGACGTGCGTTGCTTTTTTTAACAATTCCGGCCACATCGGAAAGGGATCTGAAAAAAAAAACAATAATAAAAATATCGTTTTTTGAGTATATTATAAGGTAAATAATTAAAATAATGCAGTAATTTAAAAACTATCATTCGTTTTTAAGAACTCATGACCAATAGAAACTTTAATAATAATTGTACAAATTCCTTCAATAAAATAAATAATAACTTCTCATACTGTACCTTCTATTTTTCTATAATTACCTTCTATCTGTGGCAACCTCCCGTAGTTTTTCGGCGCCTTCCTTAATTTTCAATTCTTTTCGAATTTCGCGCCTAACACGCTCTTTTAATTCTTCTAATTTGCAAGGCAGAGCCGATTCGGGCACGTGGTCTGTTTGAAGTCCATACTTGTGACTTAATTCGTACAGGACCGGATGGCGGATGTATTCGCCCTGGAAAAGAAAATAACAAATATATACATTTATCAGATTATTTTTTATTATTTACATTTCATCAGATATGAGTTATACAGGCATAGAAAAAGAATCATAGGGACAGGCTGTCTGAACATACTATTAGGATATTAGTACGAAAGTTGTTCGAACAAAATCATAACAGAAGAATTAAATAAAAATACTAATGATAAATGTATTTTTTTCATTTTTGCCTTTTTGTACTATTATCAAAGCGTTTATAATTGCACCATAAAGTTTATAATTTTAATTTTAATGAAATTCAGATGGTGGAAACTATATAATTAAACATAATAAAAAATATAGAATTCTTGTATTTTATTTGCCATGTGTTTTGCTTTCTAATTAATTATTACATCCATTTACCTGTATCTTATCCAAATTAATTATTGCCTGTTATCCGCTTCAGACAAATTTCGAAATTTAATAATTAAAAATCTGATTTTTCAAAATGATAGAAATTTATTTCATGTATAAAAAGGAACAAGGTTGATGGTGCAATAGTTATTCATCAACATCCGTTTATAAATAAAAAAATCTGATCATACAATAAATTTCCGTTGGCCTATACAATGAAACCGTTACAAATGGCCGGGTTATTAAATTATTTGCATTAAATAAAAATAACCATGGATACAAAAAATATGTATATATAAAATTACAAATTCAATTATTTTCGAATAAATAATATATTCGCAAAGCTATCAGTAAGTAATCAAAACATTCACAAACATTTTCTAATAGGATAAATATCGAAAGCACCAATAAATATGACCAGAAATTATTTGATATTAAATTTAGTTAATTTCGCCCATAAAATTTCAAAAATATTAAATACAAATAAAAATTCAACACGATACAATATTGTTAATCATCATATATAAATATTACTAAAAAAAATTTGAATAACAAAATATCTAATTAACAAATCACCAGCAATTCAATATATTAAAACAAATATCAAAGAAATTCATTATTTTTTCGAATATTTAAAACAATACGAAATGCCTAAATGAAATTTGCCTAATTAATCAGTCATTAACCTACATTCTGAATTATTTATTTGGAATGTTCAAATTCTGATTCAGAACTCGTTTCAATGCAAAAAATTTATGGTAGGCGGACGCCTTGTTTGGATAATTACCGATTTACAGTTTTTATTGTTAAAAATGGCTAGAAATCTAATATATGCATATATATATGTATGTATAAATATATTTATCATGAAATTCAATAATAAATGGATTTTTTTTCATATTTTATACATTTTGACACCAATCCAAAAATTTCGTTTTTTACTTTGCTATGCAACTGCAAAATAATCCACCCTTCGACAAACGTTTCAAATAAATTCTCATCCAAATGTAAGATTTTTGGGTTAAAAAAGTCCTTGCTGCGGTTTTAATAAATTACTTATTTTCGAATTATTATTATTTATATGCTTTGTTATAATTGTTTTAAATTGTTTCCTATTTTTGAATTTAATTTTGTGTTGATAAAGACGCTTATTGCTAAGATTTTGGCTTTGTTTCACCTATGTAAGTGAGTTCTATCAATCTAAGCATTTTATCTACAAAATTGAATAAATGTCTATCAATATTTAAAATTTTAATTTAGACATTTTTGAAATTGTTAAATTAATTCAATATTTTAATATAATTCCTCTATCCATAAATGAATAATTTTATTCATTTGCGGCCAAATTTGAACTCATTAGATTTATAGTCTAACGACTTATTTTCCATGATAAATGTGTATTTATTCTTGTCATTGTCAAATATAAAATACAAAATGTTTACCGAGTACGAACGATCAAGCAAGATTTTTTTCATGAATAAATTTTCTGCGAGCGCGAATACAAAACCGAACGGGCCGTGAAAATAAATGAAGCGTTTTCATTGCGTACACAAACGATTGAACAATTACATAAAACAATGATAAAGGAATAGTAATGATATGGAATAGATCATCAGTATAAAACCCACTCAAACAGAATAAAACCCATCGACATGACGAATAGAAGCAAGCCTAAAATCTAGGCTCATATGATGAGGAAGAACTAATCAATTTTCACAGCTGCGGTAATAATTTTAAAACCGCATAATCTGATTAACGAACATGAAAAAGGTTTTTTTGATAATTATAATGAAAAAATAATATGGAGCATTGATAGCATTAATTATTAATGTATAGTATATTTATCTGCTAATTATAAAGATCTAAACGACTTACTCAAGTCAATTCCTAAAACTAATATACACAAGTATTTATCTAGTAATCGTATAGCTTTTAAATTATTAAATTCGGTTCGCCATTTTTGAGGAAAAAATTAAGGAAAATTTACTACAAGTGATCCTGAGAGACTACAAGAAAATTACTACTTAAATACTTCATTTCTGACTATAGTCTGAAGTATACTTCAGTAATTAATTATTACATAATATAACTCTATATATAAACACAAATGTATCAATGAAAAAACAAATAAAATAAAAATGTAAAACTATTATATCAATTGCTAAAATATAACAACATTGTGAATGTTGAAAATAGAAAAAATATATATATGACCTCTATGTGCTTTTACATTTTGGTTTTTGAACAAAATTTAATTAAATTTTAAAAATTGTTATATACTTTATTAACATTTTTTATAGGACAATCGAGGAACCCCATCACACTACATTAGCAATAAATAAAATTGGCTTTTCTCAAATGTAGTGAGCAATTTCATATCAAATATTGCTAAAAAAAATTATACTAATTGTTTGATTAAATTGAATCCAATTGGATTTGATTATTAGATCATTATAAATGTTTGTTTCTAATGCAATAAGTACCATTTTAAATAAAGAGATGAAAAATTCAGATATATACATACAATTTTAAAAAATATGTTATTGGACCCCGGATTACATATAAAACTTTTAAGTTTTTGATGATAAGTTTTACCAAGAATTTAAGTTTATATACGTTAATATATATAAGAATATAGTTTATATACGTTAAGAGTAACTAAACTAGGAAAATGAATCAAATTTTTATCTAGATAGTAGTCAAAAAAGTTTTAATTTTATTAAAATGTATTTATGAATTGCTGTTTGGAAAAACATCAAGACGAGGCCTACAAAATATAACTACATGAAAAATATAACTAAAAATAAACCAGGGAGGGTAAATTTATTAAAAAAACATTTGTAACCAAACAATAACTACTACACTTGTAAATTAAAAAAAATGAAAATGTAGAAAATTTATTTTTACATTTATTGAGCAATTAGAGTTTAATTTCAATACTGAGAATATTGCTAAAATTAAAATGGTACATTGTTCTCCAACTATACAACAGATGCAATTATGGTTGAAGACAACAATAAGCCTAGATATTTTTCAGATTCATTGGGAGATTTAAAAGCTATATATAAATTATAGATTTGCACATTAGTAATTATTAGTGATAAATCTTCACTATAAATATTTTTTTATAAATTAACAAACTCTGTCTGGGATACTCCTTGTCATCAAATGTCGACGTTTTGTACTATATATTTTTTTATTAACCATAATTTAGTATTTTTCAAAATCATATCATATATGTAAATAAATCTTCTCATTTAATAAATTAATTAAAATGAAGTCAATAATGTAATTTTTTTTTACCATTGCACTCACATCTAATGCTTTAAAGCACGTCAGCATGTTATTGTATCCGTATCACTCAAAACATATATGAATGCATAATACTTGAAGATAACGACCACAATTCATTAGTGTAATTAACCATAATTATCAGTTCCGATGGACAAACCAAGTGGAACAAACTGAATATGTTCAATAATAAAGTAACAAATTGTTTCAATCGATTTATAAATTAACATTTAGAGAAAAGTAAGAATTTAATTTCAAACACAAGATACACGATTTATTATGATAAACATACATGGTGTCTCAGAACTCAACGATGATACTATTGATCGTATCTTGCCTGAACAATTAACAAAAAGTACTTCACGTTGGAGCTTTTAAGTACAATTTTGGGAGCTTTGGTAAAATTGTAAAAATGCACTAGCAAAAATCATGTCATTTTTAGGTTTTTGATTTCTTCACTTGAGTTTATTATAAGACTCAAGTATTTACAAAAGTAATAAAAATTAACCATACTAACTGAAAATTGGTCACAATTTCACCAAAGTTCTAGATTGCTCGTAAAAACTCCTAAGTTCCAAACAACGCTAAATAAATTTTATTTCCAATTTTTTTGAATACTCCAAGCCCGTTTTAACTTGACGTTGAGTTCTGGATCACCCTGTATATTATAAACATAGCTGCGGGATCACTTGATGTGACAAAATAATTTGTTTAATAATTGTTAATAAAGTACTCCCATATGTATAAATTACTAAACTAAACAGCATTTTCACAAACAAAATTAATAAAAAATAGTAATAAAAATGAAAATTCATCAATTATCCAATAATAAGTTGTTTTTTTAACTATGGTATTACAAATAATAATATTACTTGTAACCAATTACTTGAGAACTTAATTTATATAAATGTAAACAATTTGTTTGTTTAATAATTGAGACATATGAACATATGAAGAGTATTATGTATAAATTGTGTATAAAAAAGTAGAGTCAATTATGTATAAATTTTGTGTATTTTTTGAAATACCATTGCGCAACATATTATTTAAAAATGACTTCTGTATTATTTTTAATATTTAAACACGGTATCACTTGCACTATTTAAACCGATGAAAACAAGTTTCAAGAACTCAATATTTTCAGAGAACTAACTATCACAAATGAAAACGTGTATCACTTTTTTTTATAAACGATCATTTTTATAGAGAAAAAAATGACTTATTTCAGTTGATCTCAATGTTAACCGTCTAAAATCACTTTTATTACTGCATGTATGTATTTTGTATAATGTTTCCGAGCATGACACGACCAACATGTTATATGCTGACAT